GGTTTATCAAGTTTGCTGTCACTATTTGTTTCATTTTTTCGTTTATGGTGCCACATCCAAATGTAAATAGACACGTTAAGAACTCATGTTTGTTGGTTTTTACCATTTGCAATAATCAAACTGAAAGATTAAATAACAACAAGATGGTGGAGAGTAGTACATGAAGCCACATTGAAAAGATGAATTGAGGAAATTGTAGCAAAAAAAGTGAAACGGTAGGCATGACAAATGAGAGGTGGAAAACATGAGAGAATGAGAAATACATAACCCAGAGAGATCAATCACAGGCATCTTGAGCATCATCAACATCCTCCCAATCACTTCGGGCTGGTTCTCCTGCAGAGTTGGCAGCCTCACCACTCGTAACTTCTTTGCCATCATCCACCTGGATACCCACGACTGCCTCCTCTTCTACATTATCAACCACCGGCTCCTCCTTGTTCTTCTTTGGTTGCCGACTAGTCTGATTGGTTGCCACGTGTTGGACTATATCGTTCCAATCCGAGTAAATGTCACGAAGTAGTTCAGGCCTACAATGAGCACACATCCACGTAATCGTACCAGTCCATTCTTGTATCAAGACGCCATGATCAAACAAACGAGTCTGTAGTTCCTTATTGATGATCCGTAGTTTTTCTCGACAATCATAGTTTCCCAACTCCATGCGATCAATGTGATCTTCCGGTGGTTCCATATTCATGTCTAATGCCATTACTCCTACCTTTCCCAAATGAATAACATGTCATCAGATACAGATAAAGAGAATATACAATTGATGGACATGATAAAAATGAACTTACACGCTCGGATGTATCTGATATAGCCGGATATAAGTTCATAGGTACTTATTGCCCTTGTCATTGTCTGTGCAGTCTCCTGAGTAAGTAATGCCAGCTCTTCTTCTACCCTCTGCAGCACAAGGATGCAGGTGATACCAGATCGATTGCCCATGGTGCTTTGGAGTGATAGTATATCCCATCATTCCAGAACTTGTGATCAATAGCCATGCTCTCAAAGGTTTTGTAAGTGAGAGGGTGCTCATCGGCGTCAGCCACTCGTTGCCTAGGGAACTTGGCCACGTATTGCGCAAATCGGGTGTTAAAGGTTGCAATGAGTTTGTTTATTGGGCCCCAGCGCTTCTGTATAGCCTTCTGAATCTTCTCGCTTAACTTGGTTCCTAATCGACGTCTGATCGTTCTTGAGTCGGTGAGGGGCTGTTTTTCCGCCCAAAGCTCTACTGCTTGGACAAACAGTTCCGATTTAGCTTCCCAAAGAAGCAGCAAAAGTTTTTGTTCCTCTAGAAACAAGTGGTTGATAAGCACTAGATATGCTAGACCAAACGAACCAAGTAGAAAATCTAACCTTTGGCTTCGTCAGGCTTGGTTTGATGATCTCGGCCTAAGCTTTCGGCAGCCTTTCTTAGTTCCTCAGCAGTTGTCTCTAATTCATCCAGAAGCTCGTGAGCCTCCTGTTTGCTGGCCAGGTATGTAGAAGGAGTGTTGCGCAGCCAAGTCCTGGAGATAATAGAAAGGAAGTCGGCATATGTATGTAATCCAAAGTACTTTGAAAGGATATACTTACCTCAAGGCCTCAAGTGCGGCCTCTTGCTCATACACTTCAACCAACTTATCCCGATTTTCTTCTCGCTCGTCAGTATGTGTTTCCTTGAATTTTCGTTGTTCTTCCCATTGGGCCTTGAAAAAACGCTTCGTAAAATTTTGACCGGTCGTGGAGAAAGGATTGGGTTTATCTAAAACCTCACAAAGGGTAGCCTTGGTCTCAACCCTCCATCAAGCTGCTGCAACAAACTTCCTTTTGAGCCATGTGGCTGGGATAAAACAATCAACACCCGCTTCACGTATAGAACGAAGCGATTGGAAAGATGTAGAACAAAGGGAGATTGAATCAAAGATACTTACGAAGATTCTTGATACCCCTTGTATTGTGGTATTTTAATTGGTGAGAGATTGCGGCGAGCCAATGATTTTGTGTGGCATATCTTAACGGTCTGACTAAAGGTGACAGATAAGACCACATGCGTTCGAGCCCCTCCCTATCCGATAGCCCCCAACCTTTGTTAAAACGAGGATTATAATCCAGCTGACATGTCCACGAGTGAACATAGGCATGGAAAATGGAGGTCGCAAATTGAAGACGATCTTGTTGGTCACTGAGTAAGCCGCGCTGATGATTGGAACAAGTCGTAGTCAGAATGGCGCCGGAGAATGATGACTACAATCTAAGGCACTCACCAAAGCCATGTACTTGTCAAGAGAGCAACCTATGTCGTATAGGATGCCAACATGTCGATGCGGGGACTCATTATTGAGAATCTTGTTTAGGAGAGCCATCGGAAAACAACACTGTTCACCTGATTTATTGATGTTTGCCATGTATATTGCAGCATCGTGGTGACAGAAACATCCCATAAGGCCGGTGTCGTCACAACCTTTCCACGAGGACTCATTACGCTTGTTGTCAGCTGCCTTGTGAGCTTCTGTACATTGGTCTCTCTTGGGTGGGGAGAATGATAGGGAAAAAAAAAGTGAGCCACCAGTAATGTACGTAGCAAATAGAGATAGCAAATAGAGGTTCTGACCTTGTCTTTTGGCTTCTGGCGTAACTCTATATCGATGATCTTGGCTTTCATCTCATCAACCTCCTTCTGGCTGACGAACATGTTTGGAGTTCGTATTTGATTGTAATCGCGGCTCGCCTTAGAATGGTGGTGATGCTGGAAGTTGCCATCAAGGCAAATGATCAGCTTATCTTGACTCATCCAAGGGTATTCGTTCAGGTTGGGTGGACTTGGACCGAAGCACGCAGGACATCTCCAGGCAGCCCACACCGCCCGCATCGTTCTAACCGCAATACGTCACCAACCACGGCTTCG